CATTTTTGAAGTGCAGGAAGACTGATGATTCAGGGGAGGATACTCACCAAAAAGTGTGCCTTTTTTTGCAATTAGAAATAGATGCTTCTATTTATTATTATTATTTATTTACTGTATTTATACCCCGCTCATCTCAACTCCCAAGGGGACTCAGAGCGGCTTACAGATTATGGCAACGTTCAATGCCGCATCATGCTGCATGCTGTCTTGGGTTTTAATATGCCTAGTGTGATACAGTAGATAGGAAAGTGAAGGATACATCTGGACAACACCTGAATTTAACACTTGTTGTAATCTCAATTGCCACCTTCTTTCTGTGAAACTAAACTTAAACACCATTGGAAATAAGAGTGGAGCAGTGAATCCATTCCATGTGTTAATCCAGAGTTTCAGTGACTTATGATAATATAATAATAATAACAACAACAACAACAACAACAACAACAACAACAACAACAACAACTTTATTTTTATACCCCACCATTCTTCTCCCCAAAGGGACTCGGGCAGCTTACATGGGGACAAGCCCGAGAATCACAGATTAAACACAACAGCATTAAAAACATTCAGATAAAAACACAACACATTCACAACAACAACATGAAAACAATATCATGGCTGAAAAACAGAATCAGGATGGGTCTAGGCTCAGGTAGTGCAATGAATTCTTAAGGAGAGCTGAGGAAAGGTGCAAAATTCAAGATTCGGGGATTCCGAATATTTTCATTCCAATCCAGGTGTGTCACTGATGCCTATGATGCCTAACACTTCTTGGCTATTCAAAAAGATCATTGCTTAAATTGATGACTTCAGTTGTGTATGAAAATTCTCCATGGGAAAAAAATTTAAGACCTTTTACAAATTATGTTGTTTGTCAGCAAGACTCTAATGCAGTGGTATTGTTTTTCTTGATTTTCAGAACCTACAACATAGAAGACAGCATGAAGTAGAAATCCAGCTCAAAGGAACACTGGCTCCACCAGTAAGTAAAACCTACACTACAAAAAATACTTCGATACCAATATTGGTCAAAATGAACGCAGGCAAAGCATAAAGATACCTTACAGTTTTAGTTGAGCATTGTTGCTGGGCTTTCAATTGATTCATTCATTTGTGCAATTGTGAGTTTTAGTTTGTATTTTGTTTTTAAATGACTGCATGGTTTTAATGATGTTGATGGAA